TCGATCTCACGATCAAACTCACTATCGATCTCATTATCGATCTCACATTCGGTCTCACTATCGATCTCACTATCGATATCACAATCGATCTCGCATTCGGCCTCAGTATCGATCTCTCTATCGAACTCACTTTCGATCTCATTATCGATCTCACTATCGATCTCACTATCGATATCACAACCGAACTCACAACCGATCCCACATTCGGTCTCATCATCGATCTCACTATCGAAATCACTATCGATCTCATTACCGATAGTGATATCACTACTAACTCAATCGATCGATCTCACAATCGATCTGACTATCGATCTCACAATAGATTCCACAATCGATCTCACATTCGGTCTCACTATCGATCTCACTATCGATATCACAATCGATCTCACAATCGATATCCCATTTGGTCTCACAATCGGTCTCACTATCGATCTCATTATCGATCTCACATTCGGTCTCACAACCGATCCCACAATCGATCTCACAAGCGATCTGACATTCGATCTCACGTTCGATCTCACAATCGATATCACTACCGATCTCACTATCGATCATCAAAATAAAACATCAACATCGTCATCATCATCACCATCATCATCATCAATCTCATCATCATAATCGGGACACCGACAGGACACCGGCGGGACACTGCGGGCCCCCGGCCGCCCAGAAGGGAGACATTTGGTCCGGCCGCGCCTCAGCCACACGGGACACCAGCGGGACACCGGCGGGACACCGCGGGGCCCCGGCCGCCCGGAAGGGAGACATTTGGTCCGGCCGCGCCTCAGCCACCGGAGACTTTCTCTCGCCCGCCCACGCAGCTTCGCCTCGCCCGCACGCACGGCACGCACGAACACGAAACCGAAATCGATTTCCCGGTAAGGGGGCTCTCCGTTCCACTTCGATCTCACCCCCTCACCTCCGACCCCAGGGGGTGCAGTTACAGAAGGGGCCAGTCCACAAGAAAACTTCCACAAGAAACCCAACCCTGAAACCCCAGGACGTCCAGTGATGTTTGGTGTGGGAACGTCGCGCTTTCCATCGCAAGCCCATCGAAACCCAAGAAACCCATGGTACCCTGGAGGCAAGCAGGGTGTTTCTTGGCATGGGTCTCTACTGCACGTAGTCCCCTACGCCACCCCCTTCAGGGCTCGGTTCGGCCTGGCTCCAGTGCGCGCGCCACGCAGAGCCCACACTCTCCCTGAACCTGGGCTGATTCGACCTCGTGCGAAGTGCGCTTCGCACAGAGCGTCCCCCCCTCCCCCTCCTCCCCCTCCCCCTCCTCCCCCTCCCCATCCTCCTCATCCTTCTCCCCATCACCATCCTCTCCCCTCCTCCCCTCTCCTCCTCCCCTCCTCCTCCTCCTCCTCCTCCCCTCCTCCTCCTCCTCCTCCTCCTCCTCTCCTCCTCCTCCTCCTCCTCCTCCTCCTCCTCCTCCTCCTCCTCCTCCTCCTCCTCCCCCTCCTCCTCCTGCTCCACGCCCTCCGCCGCCTGTGCCGCCGCAGTGGCCCCCGGGGGGTGCAGCCCAGTCCGCTGGGCGCCCACGGGGCGCCCCCAGGCGCGGACCCGGGGGAAACTGCGGCGCCCACGGGTCGGCGCCACCCCACCACATGTCTGCTAAGGAGGAGGAGGAGGAGGAGGAGGAGGAGGAGGAGGAGGAGGAGGAGGAAGAGGAGGAGGAGGGAGGAGGAGAGAGGGAGGAGGAGGAGGAGGAGGAGGAGGAGGAGGAGGAGGAGGAGGAGGAGGAGGAGGAGGGGTGCGTCGCCCCCCCCCCCCCCGCAGGGGCGACGCGCGCGCCGGGAAACCTTATAGCACGTGCGTCGCGGCGGGCGCGTTCGGGAGACGATGCGCCACAAGATGGGCACGCTACGTGTTCGGGCCGGACGCGCGCCTCCAAGGAGAACATCTGGTACTAGTATTAGCTCGGGCATGTCCTCCTACAGGCGGATTTGGGACGAGAAACAAAGCACTCGACCCATGCTCCAAAAACGTATTTGCCCCCCCCCCCCCCCAAAAAAAAACACCCCAAAACAATCGTCCCTAGACTACTTGTTTGACTGTGTTTGAACATTCCTCCTGTAGAGGGCTGTGCCCGACTCAGTACTAGTGCGTATCCGTGCCTCCCAGCGAGCGGAGACGGGCGGGCGCCAGGCGAAACCTCTGCACACCCACCCGGCGTGAAGTCGGGCCTGTCCCCCATACAGGGGGATTTTCGACGATTTTTCTGTTTAATATTAAAAAACGACCGAAAAATCAAAACAAAAAATCCCTAAACTAGTCTGGGGACTATTTTTGGAAGCATGTTTTGACTTTGTTGGGGCATTTTGGGGTTATTTCTTTGTTTTTCGTCAAAAATCCCCCTGTTCGGGTGTTGCTAGATGTACCCCTGGCCCAAGGTGCCCCCAGGAATCTCGGGGTGGCCCAGACGGCCTTCAGAGCACCCCTCACGAGGCCCAGAGGGCCCCAGGGGCCCCCAAAATGTAGCGAAAAGCTGGGGGCACCTTGGGCCAGGGGCACTTCTGGCAGCGCCCGACCTGTGGGGGGACAGGCCCGACAGAAACCCAGCGCGCGAGGCGCCCACCAGGCGCCCACCAGGCGCGGACACGGGAGGGGGGGCACCAGGCGAAACTCTCGGCACGCCCACCCGGCGCACGAGGCGCCCACGAAAGGCGCCCACGAGAAGCGCCCACCCGGCGGGCACCGGGCGAAGCCCCCGGCAGGCCCACGAGGCCCCCCAAGACAGCCCAAGATAACCAGCCTGGAACAATACAGTCGGGGCGTTGACCTAAGGAACCCTCAATAAGGAACGAGGCCCCTTTTCCCATAAGTTACACTTCGATCTCCCATGGAAAACCTCATGAAAACCAAAGGCAAGCTGTAGAACGATCCAGGAACACCGAGCCCCTTCCCAACGAGAAGGGTTCCTTCTTCAGCGCCCCGACTGTATCCCTATCCCTGTGCTGGGCACCTCCCCATCACGATGCCAATCTTGGGGGTTCCCTTGTTTTTTGAAGGCGGATCCCTAAGATTGTCCTCGCCTTCTGGCGTGTCAATCTTAGGGATAGGGATACGTTCGAGGCTGGTAACAAGAGGGACCCCAGGCGGCTCCAAGAGGGAGTCCAGAGAGCACCTGTTCAAGCCATCGGCCCCCAGAAAGCCCCCAGCCTGCCCCAAGAGCACCCCAAGAGGCCCCGAGGGCCCTCCAAGAGAGCCTCAAAGGCCTCCAAGAAGCCCCCAGAAAGCCCCCGAGAGGCCCCAGAACTTGGCCCAAGATGCCTCGAGGAGGCCGGATGTGGCCACCCATCCAACTCCCTGGGCAGCCTCAGCGAGAACCCCGACGTGGGTGCGAGCGCTGTGGGCGACGTGCGCCCGCAGACGATCCCACGAGGGCTCCGAGACGATCCAGCGCGGCGGCGGAGGGCGGCGGCGAGAGGGAGGAACACGAGCCGCCCAGAAGGGAGGGCGGGGCCTCAGGCCCGGACGGAGCCCGAACGCGGCGCGCCCCGCTCGGGGGGGGGGGAGGGCTCGGAGGGAGGTCGGGCGGGCGAGGACCGAGGACGGCGACGACGGGGGCGGGGGCGGGGGCGAGGGCGAGCGCGATGGCGAGGAGGACGAGAAGGAAGCGGAGGAGGACGACGACGGCGGCGAGGATGCCCACGGCAGGGCCCCACGGACGGGGCGAGCTGCCCCCCCCCGTTGGTCGGGCGCGTCCCTCTGCAGGGGGAGCACTCCGAAATAGTCAATAAATAGCCGGGGCACGATCTTCTGCACATTTTGTTAACCATATTTCGGCTACCTTTTGACAATTTGTTTTTTCTCGTCCCAAAAAAATCTGCCTGTGGGAGGACACGCCCGACCTTCGGGCCGGGCGAAAAGGGGGGGGGGATAACACAGGGGGGGAGTGAAAATCAGCTCACGTAGCTGATTTTACCGGCGCCTCCCGGCGCCGGGAGGCGCCTATATCTATATATATATATATATATATACATATATGCATACATACATACATACATACATACATACATACATACATACATACATACATACATACATACCTACCTACCTACCGACCGACCGACCGACCTACCTACCTACCTACCTACCTACATACATACATACATACATACATACATGCATGCATGCATGCATGCATGCATGCATGCATGCATGCATATATACATATATATATATACATATATACATATATATATATACATATACATATATCGAGGAATGGGCCCAGCGGTGGGGCTGAAACCAGCTGCATGCAGTAGATTCCGTAACCCCCCCCTTTCCCTATCCCCCCCTTTCGTTCGGCCCGGGACCTTTAAACAGGGCTAGGATCGGGATAAATCGCTCCAGAGCGTTCCGGAGCGCTCTCAGAGCGTTCCGGAACGCTCTGGAGCGGCCGCGGCGCCCAATACATCCCCCAAACCCGCCGATTCTCAAAGATTTCGAGTGATCCCGATCCGATTTGGTCCCGATCTTCGCGTCGTTTTATATCCCCCCCCCCTTTCGTTCGGCCCGAGACCTGCCCCCCCCTCCCCGCGCGACCGCGGCGGCCTTGTGCAGCGGCCCGGGCGCGGCGCGGTTCGCCTCCACGGCGGCGCGCAGCTCCTGGGCGGCGGCGCGCGCGCACGGGGGCGCGCCGCGGAGGGCAGCGGCGGACCCGCGAAGGAGGAGGAGGAGGAGGAAAAGAAGGAGAAGGAGGAGGAGGAGGAAAAGAAGGAGGAGGAGGAGGAGGAAAAGAAGGAGGAGGAGGAGGAGGAGGAGACCTCTTGGGAGCCTCTTGGGGCCGCCGGGGGGCGCCTGCCCAACCGGGAGCGGCGCGGTGGCGCCGCGGCGCCGTGGCGCGGTGAGACCAGAGGACTCCTCCTCCTCCTCCTCCTCCTCCTCCTCCTCCTCCTGCTGCTGCTGCTGCTGGCCCATTGCTGACCGGTTCGAAGCTGTCGCTGCTTGTCGGCTCCAAGCATGTGGCTCGAGTCGTGGCCGATGACGAGATGCCGATGATGAGGATGGCCAACGGCGAGATGATGCGGGCACAGGTTGTGATGGATCCATCGACGATCGCGAAACGCAGCCTGATCGGAATCCCTGTCGATGCGGCCATCTGCGCCGGCGCTTCAGCTGACGATGTCTCAGGCTCCACCATCACCGCGCTCGCCGCCAGCTTTTGCGATGGCGAGATCCGATGGCGAGGCTACAGCGACGACTGGACACCGGCAATGGCGTGTCGGCTTCGATGGTCGTGTCAACCTCACCAGCCAAGCGACAAGTTGCGCTACTTCGACGGTGAGCAGACCTCGCTTTCGGCAGCAGGCAACCTTCAGAGCCGAGATGGTTCGGTGTTCAGGCTCGACGAGCTGATGCTGGTCTGCTTGGAGCTTCAGGGCGCACGCGCTCACATTCGCGAGCTCGACTACCATGCCGCCGAGACCGTGCACATCTGCACCGGTTGTTCGAGACTCCACTTCGACTGCCAATGCGAGGTGCCGGCAGCGTCCAGGACGGCCATTTTGCCAGCGGCGACGGTGAGGCTGCTTGAGGTGTTGCGTTGTGACGGCATATCGGCGCGTCTCGACACATCGCGATGACGGTGTCGCCGAGGTTGCAAAAAAAAAGCGACTGTCTGGCCGCATCGCTAGCCTCGCGACGCCGCGATTGGGCGCTGCAGCAATCGTTGAGTCGGCGACAGAGATTTGTCTGACCTGCAGCGCAATGGCGGCTCAGATCGGCGGTGATGTTTGCGTCCAGCTCGTCGGCACAGTCATCGCGAATGCATGGTCGACGACGAGCGTGCTGATGCGGCGGCCAGAACGCTTGCGTCGTCAGCAGGTTGGTTCGGCCGAGTTTGGCACCGCCGCAGCATGCGTGACCGATGATGGCAGCGTCACAATCACGACGACTCTCGAGCTCGCTGCACGCAACGTCACCGGAAGCTTGCGCATGGTTGTCGTTCTGGAGGTCGACCATCAGCCTCAACGCCACGCCGAATTCTGCGCCGCCGGTGTTGCTGAGCAGCTTTGGAGGATGGCCGTGCAGCGTGACAGCGGCGGCTTCGAGATGGAATGGTCAGCGGACCCTTCAGCTTCTGAGCTCACCTCGATTCGAATCTGCCGCCGTCTCAGCACCATGCCATGCCAGTCGATTGAGCTTGCCATCGAGGCAGCCAAGGATCTGGTCGCTGATGAGCGGCTCAATGTCCGCGCCAGAGAGTGTGCCGCTCTGCTCTGCAATCTGTTCTGCGACCCGTTTGATCGGCTCACCGCCGTGCTCTCTGACTGGCCGACCTTGCCTTGCTCACTCGCCGAGCTTGCGACGCAGCCGCCACGGAGCATCTTTCTGACCGATTTGCGACAAGGACGCTCCCTTTGCTGGCTGGTTTCGGTGGTCGACGATCGCTGGTTCGAGGGTCGATTGTTGCGCCACACCAACCAGAGCCGCATCAGCTTCAAGGCCTGCAGGCGAATCGGAAGGTCGATGAGAGGCCTCAACATCATCGCGGCAATCGCTTGTTTCGATGTGATGATCGACAAGCCTCGCCTCGTCGGCATCCTGCATCACGAACCCACGAACGTGCCGCTGCAGCAGGTTGAGCGAATCTTTTGCGAGTGCACCGGCGTGCATGCATCTGGTGCTGACATCGTCGACCTCGACACCGTCGCCGCAACCTTCGACAGATGCCGTGGCAGAGGCCTTTCACTCTGCTCGTCGCACGATGGCTTTCACTTTCTCGCGGCAACGTCGATTCGCGTCGCTGTCGGTGATGATGGCATCGCCAGGATCGCCAATGGCATCGTCGCTCCTCCATCTGCACAAGCGGCAGTGACCGTCGCCGAGATCGATGCAGGTGTGGCGAGAGTTTCGATGGAGTGCCTGCTCAACAACCACCAGCTCGCTGCGACTGCCGTCCACGAGGATGATGTCGATTGCGAGCTGTCGACGAATGCAGAGGTCTTCCAGTTCATTGCCTGCCACGACGGCAGTGGCCATCAGCCTGGCAACGCTGCAGCAGTGGTTGGCGAGGGCAATGTGACGTCGCACTGGAACGCCACAACTTGGCGCAAGACGCTGCTCGAGGCTCACACGTTGACGCTCAAGGCGCTGGCACAGAACGAGAGCGGCAAGGTTGTGGTGCTTGGCGAGAATCTGACACGCGCCTTCACCAGCAGCACTCCAGCAATGCCGCGCTCGTTGTTGCTTGCCTGCGAAGATGTCCGCACGCTCGACTTCGCTTGGCGGCGGCTGCTGGTGAGAGGCGAAGATCTTTTGCACGGCTCTTGCGGTCAGCTTGGATGGTGCTTCCGGTCGAGTTTGATCGACCATTTGCCGGCAGGCAGCATCACCATCGCCGTGGCAATGCCCTCAGTTGACGATTTGGATGTCATCGAGCGAGCCGTCGACAGAGCAGCATCGCGGCTGAAGGTTATCGCGATGACGTACGGTGGCAACCTGCTCTCCAACTGCAGCTTCGGCGAGAGCGGCGTGAGGCTCGATTACTGCGCCGATGGAACCGTCCTCGAGCACAGCCGCTCTGGTGCCACCGTTTCCGCCACGCTGCGCCTGCTCGTCGAAAGGTTGCGTGCGCTGAAGCCGACGCCGACATCGCTGGCGAAGTGGACGTCAGATTCGGCGCCCGGCACCTTCGCTGAGGAGCTTGCATGGCGCCGTCACGTGAGGCTCACCACCTTCGAAAAAAAACCTCTTTCGATGCTGTCACGGCGGCAGATGGATCAGCGTCGCGACAAACCGGCGTTTTTTCGGTCATGGTGCCGCATCTGTCGCGACGGTTCACCAGTCCACACCACCGGCACCGAAAGGATCGTCGGCGCCGGCATCTTCAAAGCCAGTGGTGAGCAATCTGCACACCGGTAGCTGCATCGTCGGCTCAGAGCGCCACACGAACTCGACGATGACGTCACGCAAGCTTCCAAGCCAGTCAACGCCGAGGCTTCTGGCGTGATCGTGGGCGCACTTCACTCGCAACACTTGCTGACCGATCGCCAACCTGGCACCACCGGCGCTTGGTTGTGGCGCCTTCTTCATGAACTCGAGGCACTGATGCCGGTGTTCATCAAGCCATGGCATCAGCACCTCCGTTGCAGCCTTCTGATCAGCATCCGTCAGCGTCAGCGATCGTGAGCTTTCGGTGACGGTGATGCGAATCTTCAGCAACGCCGCTAAGCTGCACAACGCCTCGATCACCTGCTCGAAGATGCCGAGTTGTCGTGCTCGTTGCTGGCTGACAATCGCCAGGCGGACATCAGCGATCTGAGGTTGCGTCGGCCAGCATTGCACATCGCCGTAGCCGAAGCAGCACATGAAGTTGTCCACGACGGCAATGGTCATCGCGTCGCTGCGGGCTTGAGCGGATCAGCATCATCATCATCATCCTCATCATCCTCTTCCTCATCATCAGCATCATCATCAACATCAGCATCAGCATCAGCATCAGCATCAGCATCCTCATCATGATCAACAACAGCAGCAGCAGCATCAGCATCAGCATCAGCATCAGCATCCTCATCATCATCAACAACAGCAGCAGCAGCATCAGCATCAGCATCAGCATCAGCATCAGCATCAGCATCAACATCATCATCATCATCATCAGCAGCAGCATCGTCATCATCATCATCATCATCATCATCATCATCATCATCATCATCATCATCCTCCTCCTCCTCCTCCTCCTCCTCCTCCTCCTCCTCCTCCTCATCCTCATCCTCATCCTCATCCTCATCATCATATCAGCAGCAGCATCATCATCATCAGCAGCAGCATCATCAGCAGCATCATCAGCAGCATCATCATCATCATTACTCCTCCTCCTCCTCCTCCTGCTCCTGCTCCTGCTCCTGCTCCTGCTCCTGCTGCTCCTGCTGCTCCTCCTCCTTTTCCCCCCGAGCGACGACTAGAAATTCGAGCCTCGGCGGCTACGGATGACGGTGCTGCGGCGAGCCCGGGGGGAAGTGAGAGGGGGAGGGCCTTCTCGAAGGCTCGGAAGTCCCCTGGCCTTCTGAAAAGTTATCCCGTCCCCGAAGACACAGAAAACTTGTCAGACTGCGCGAGGGCTTCTGAAAAGTCCCGCCGCCTTCTGTGAAGGCCTTCTCCTTCTCACGTCCCCCCTCGCTCGCCGCCGAACTACGCCGCTTACATGCATGACGTGTTCCCAGCTTTCTGAGGAGTGTTCCAAGCTTTCCCCGACGACGCAGGAGACTTCTCGGCCCGTCTGAGAGGGCCTGCTCCTTCTCGCTTCCCCGCCGGGCGCGCCGCCGAAGCGGTGCTGCGGCGGCGCCGGAGGGAGGGGGGCGGAGGCCCGCGCGTGGGCGCGGTCCGACTGGGGGCGGCGCGGTGGCGCCGCGGCGCCGGGCCGCGGAGGGCTGGGGGCCGTGGCCAGCGAGCACGTTCTTCCAAGGGCGCCCAACTTCGCGCTTCGCGCTTCGCGAAGCGCGAAGCGCGAATGACTTCGCGCTCTCGCGCCGCCTCCCAGGGGAGAAGAGGGGGAAGAGGAGGAATCGGAGCCGAAGCGCGAAGCGCGAAGCGCGAATAACTTCGCGCCCTCGAGGGCGCCCTTGTTCTTCGGGCACCCGCTGGCATTGAGTGAGGATCCATGGATCCGGCGCGTGCCTGGTTAGCCGACCCCTGGCAAGCCATCCCCTTCCACGACGCCACCCTCGCCTTTCAAGCTTCCCTCCGCCCGCACACATACGCCTTGAGGCGAGGCGAGGGGGGCGTCACGGAAGGGGATGGTTTGCTAGTGGTCGGTTGTGCCGCCCCTGACGATCCACGGATCGGGAAACGCAGCGCCCGAGACATGCCGACGGCGCCGCCTCATCTGGCGGCGGAGCGCACGCCGATTCTGCACGAAAGCGGGACCCGTCGCTAATCCACGCGCCCTGATCCATATCTGCGTCTCCTCGACTTCTGGAGGGAGGAAGAACGGCACAAGCATAAACGGTCGGTCGGTCAGGGGCCACCCCTGAGCGAGGAGGCCAGGAGGAGTAGGAGGGCGGAGAGGCAGGCAGGAGCAGAAGAAGAGAAAACAGCTCAGGCTGCTCTTCTACAGGGAGCGCTAGATAAGGAACGAAGAGCTTTTTGGCCCCAAGTACGTCTGCGTGGACGAGGAGCGCTAGAGAATCAGCCATGGGAGGACCTAAGAAACGTCGAGCCCCTTCCGAACCCAAGATGTTTTTCATTTCGGCTCCTTGACAGTGAGCATAAACCTTCCGAGGCGCCCGCACCAATTTCTCGACCCGATCCCAGAAATCCGCGCAACCATCCGAAAGTCTGTGTTTGTGCAGCTGCGTAACCAGCCTCGAACGTATCCCTGTCCCTAACATTCACAAGCCAAATGGCGACGACAATATTAGGGATGCGCCCACAGAAGCTGAGAGAATCCCTAAGATCGGCATCGAGATAAGGCGATGCCAAGCATAGGGAGAGGGATACGGTTCAGACTGTCTTCGAGAGCACCTGGACGGTGATGGAACCTGCCTTACATGCTCGCCTTCAAAAAACCACCTTGTCTGTCCCATCGCGCCCCCATCCGCGTCGAATCCGTGTCGAATCCGCGTCGAGCCCACATCGAACCGCCCCGAATCCGCGTCGAACCCGCGTCGGGCACAAGACAAGACAGCAAATTGCAGCACAGACAGGGCCCCCTGAAGATGCAACGCAACTTACACAGATCTGACACCTGCGTCGGATCCGCAACGCCTGAATCGGCACGGGCCTCCCGAACCGTGCACGGAGCGCTGGATCCGAGGGCCTTGCCACGATTTCGGTCTGCGAGGACCTCTTCTCGGACCTCATCCAGCATGAATTCCTCCCTGTCGCACCCCCAGACGTGTCGGTAGGGCGGGCCGGAAGTCTCGCCCGAGGCTCCATCGCCATGTCTGATGCTGAAGCTTGAGATTTGCAACAGTTTCAAAGATGGAGGGCGGGTGGCTTTCAAAATGTGGCTCGCCTTTGCATCACGCACATTCGTCTCAAAAAGCGCAACAGTTTCGAGGATAGAAGGCGACCCGTTTCAAAAAGTGGCTCTCGCCTTAGCGCCGCGCTCATGCGTCTTAAAATGTAGACTGGCAGGGATCTCAACGATTATGTATCCAGACATACATACATACATACATACATACATACATACATACATACATACATACATACATACATACATGCATGCATGCATGCATAAATATAAACATACATACATACACGCATGACTGCACCTACATACATACATTCATACATACATACATACAGACATACATGTATACATACATACATACATGCATGCATACATGCATACAGACATACACACACATACATACATACATGCATACATACATTCATACATACATACATACATACATGCATGCATACATGCATACAAACATACATAAATGCATGCATGCATGCATGCATACGTACATACATACATACATACATACATACATACATACATATATACCTGAATCCATACATACATACATACATGCATGCATACATACATTCATACATACATGCATGCATGCATGCATGCATGCATGCATACATATATACATACATACATGCATACGCACACATATATACATACATGCATGCATGCATGCATGCATGCATATATGCATACACACATACACACATACATACACACATACATATATACATATATGCATGCATGCATGCATGCATGCATGCATGCATGCATACATACATACATACCTAAATACATACATACATGCATACAGGCATGCATACACCTATACATGAACATCTATATGTACACACCTACATATACCTATACACATACACATACATGTAAACATACATATGCATATACATATACGTATACATGTACATATGCATCTACATATTCATATACATATACATATAAATATACATATACATATACATACAAATATACATACATACACACATACGTACATACATACATACGTACATACATACATGCACACACATACATACATACATACATACATACATACATACATACATACATGCATGCATACATACATACATACATACATACATACATACATCTATACTAGATATGGGTGTCGTTTCCGCGCCGCGTACGTACGTCTTCATATGAAAGCCGCAAGCGTTTGCAACCATTTGAAGGATGGAGCGCGGCTCCTTTTCAAAAACTGACTTTCGCCCAAGCGTCGCGCACATGCGTCTAAAAGGTCTGCAGCCGTTTCAAATATTCATGTGGTTGAAGTCCCAGAACTGTCTAGGATTACCAGGACGCAACAGTCCCATTGATTCGCAGCGTTGAAGTCCTAGGAATGGCTTCTGTTACGAAGTCTGGATTGTCAGGACGCAACTGTCACGTTGCTTCGCGGCGCTGAAGTCCCAAGAATAGTATTCTGGCACGATGGAAAATTCGCAAACGGTTGTCTTCCAATGGGGCAATTCCCGGAATGAAAATAAATACTTGTTGGGACGTATGAAGTGGTAACTTGAAGAAAGATGTACTGCAACATCATTGATGGGTCTTGGGTTTGCACTGGTCCTCCTGCTCCTCTTCCTCCTCCTCGTCCTCCTCCTCCTCATCCTGATCTACCCACCTCCCTCCATCCTCCCTCCCTCCGAATTCCATCCTCCCTGCTCCAAACCCCATGATCCCTCATCCCCT